AACCCCCAACCCCCCATCCCAGGCCTGCCTCAGTCTCAGCACTTTTTAGCCCAGAGGCAAGAACTGCCGGGTGCCTGGTGGCTGGCATTTGCCCCCAACTGCCTTCCTCTAGGGGCCCAAGCACCAGTCAGCTCCTTCCCCCTCCTACTTGGATGAAGGGGCACCCCCCAACTCCCCCCTCCACAAGCCCAACATGATCAGTGGGATCCCTGCACCCCACGCCTGGGCTGCACTAACTATAAATCACAAGTGGAGGTGCTGGGGGTTCCCGGGGCGTTGCCTCGGGATCCCCGGAGTCTCCGGAGCCAGAGAAGTTTCTGTCTGTGCTGACTCCTCAGACAGGATCAAAACAGCATGAAAGAAATCAGAGCGAGAACGTCGGCAGGAGCTGGACTTCTAAAACCCCCTTCCGCCCCCATAGGCTTCAATATTAAAAACCCCCTAGGAGTCTCAGACACTGTATTAATTAGTGCAACCACCCATGAAAAGTTGGGTTTGGAGCAGCATTCTTTGCCCTGTGTGAAAAACCAAGTCTAATAAACAATTGTTAAGTTGGCTTGTTGCCGCTGGTAAATTACATAGCATTAAAAAAATAATGCTTTTCATATTAGGCACTAATTAAAGGTTGGGACAGCTTTAAAACAAGAGAGGGAGGGGGGAAATCAAAGAAAATATAAAAATGTTCTTTCAAGAGTTATGGGAGGTTAATAAAGTATGTCTGTTAGAGTGAGTCTACTTTGCCCCTAGCTACAGCCAAACTGGAGCCACCACAATTGGGTCTCAATAAGATAATGATATTCCTTTCTCTGCTATTAAAAGCCTCCCAGTGCAAACTTAAAATGATTTATTTAATTTAGGAAATTATGAGGTGTAACTTCAAAGCCGGAGCCGTTAGTAATGGAAAATACCAGGTTGTTTAAAATTATAATAATAATTGTTTGGAGGACTCAGGACATCAAAGTGTTTTCATCAACAAACTCAGAGGGTCGGAGGAGGTTGGAAAGAGTTCGAGGAGGTGATGGAGTTTGGATTTGATTATTAGGAATCTTATCAGGGCAGGATTCAGGATTCCCGCAGCCTGCTACTCTGTTCTGCTTTGAAGCAGGCTATTTTGGAAAGTAATTTCACTTGCTTTTTATTTAGCTCCTAGCAGGGAGGAGGTGACAGGGGTGGCTGGGGGCACAAGAAGGGTAGAAGGGTCCAGGAGTTGACAGCTGACTTTTCCTCTTTGCTCTCTGACCAATTTCATTAATGAATCCCGGCAGCATCACCAATCCAGAAAACTTGTTTTTTTGTTTTGTTTTTTTTTTTTTAACTTACATTGAAGGGGGCACAATCAACTTCACCAACGGGTCCTGTGATTTCAGGGAGGGGTGTGTGTGTGACGTGGGTTCTTTTATAAATGAGGTTTATGTTTATTCCAAACCCAGCAGTGGAGAGGGAGTGGGGGTGGGGAAATGGCCTCTCCAACCCGTGGCAAATGAGCGGCTTTTATAGCAAAGAATGGCCGTGGGAGTTTTCATTCGGTCAGACAAGGTTCTGCTCAAAGGCAGGGATTCTCTTTTCAGTCAGGTCAGGCAGACGTTTTGCCTGTGCCTGCTCTCAGCCAGGCCTTAGCTGCCTCCCTCCTGCGGACCCTGCCCCACATCGCCTCCCTGGGGCTTGGGGGCGGTTTGTCAGCCTAAGCCCCAGGCCCTATGCCCAGGGAAAGCAAGGGATTGGGTGGGGAGGCCCTCACAGCTGTAAGCAGGGGAGGGTTGCAGATTGGGAATCCAGGACTGGCTTGCTGGGTTTTGGGATTCCTGCAGCCCTCTAGGTCTGAGCCCTCACGTCGGAGGGCTCCTGCCCCCTGCCTTTGCCAGCCCTCAAGCCTAGCTCCCTGCTCACACCTAGGCCTGGAATCACTGCCTCCTGAGGCTGTGACCTCATTGAGCCTCGATTTTCTCAACCAAAAGTCTCATCTTTAACATCTCCCCAGGAATCTGCGTTGTCAAAACGAGGTGTGACTCGTATCCTGGTTGCGCACCTAGCCGGAACACAAGAATTGTGATTTCCTCCTTTCTTGCCTTCTACCCCCCAAAGCAGAGCTGTCTTTCTGCACAGTTTTGGATGGTGACTTTTTTACGTATGGGCAGGAGGGTGGATTTGTGTGCTAAACTCTGGCAGCCAGGCGGAGGAGACGTCCAAAGTCGACACACTGGCATCTTCAGATTTAATTTCCAAGGCGCGGCAGCGGGGATCCTTAGTGAGTCAGGGTCCCTCTGCCGCCGCAAGTGGTTAGTCTGGCTACTGAAACGCCAGGCTTAGTAAGTCTGACCGAAGCTGGGGGCCGTCGCTACCACCAAAACGAAAGCGGGGCAGTTGTTTCAGAGGGACCCCAAGGGACTCCGCACCGCTGTCACGCGCACCTCTGGTGGCGGTCTGGCCCCCGCCACCGGCCCGACCTCAACTCAGTACCCTCCCCACTTAGTAGCGCTGGGGTCTTTATGTTTGCGCCTGAACCACTCTATTCCCTCTCCGGGTCTCAGTTCATCTTCGGGGTTTGGGGAGATTTGGATAGTGTGCTGCCGCTCAGACGGCTCCCAAAGTACCCCACAGGCCACACGGGACGCAGCCTCGATACTCCGAATTGCAATCCGGTTGCGACCCTCTTTCCCCACCCCCCTCACCCCCCCACCCCCGGGCAAGCCGAGTCTTAACCCGGAGCAGGCGTCTCCGGATCCCCGACCCGGGCTGAGATTGCCTGAGGCTGCGGGGTCCAAGCGGCGCCGGGAAGGAAGCTCCGTGGACGGGTTAATTAGGGACCCAACTTGGCGGCTGATGACGAAACCTGGAAGGGTTTTGGCCTTTGGAAAATGCATACCTTAAATGAGGAGGACAGGATACAGGCTGGGATAAGTTCAGGCTGCGGAGCCCGGAGTAATGGCATAGGCGCACGCTGGGCTTGGGGCATTCCCGAGAGTCGGCTTGGGAGTGGAGCCCCCAGCAGGTCCCTGGGTCTGGGTCGCGCTCCACCCTGGAGCTGGGCAACTTCTGAGACTCGTCGCCCAACCCCTGGGAACCTCTGTCCTAGGAAAAGGTGCCTTTCTTTTTAAGCCCACTTCCAAACGGGGCGTTGGCACAAAGGAAACATGGTGTAATGGGATGAAAGCCCTAGTCCTCCTAGGTGGATACACCAGTCTCCCCACGCAATTTCCGCATTCTCTTCTGCCTGGTTCTCTTGGACACTGGAGCTTCCAGTCTGAAAAATCAGACTCATTACAGTGCTATCAGTAGCTACTTGGTTTACCCATGCAACATAAAGCAGGCGTTTAAAACTCTTCTCCACACCTTCACCACCTATTGCCAATTTGTTTTAATAGTGAGGCCTTAAAAACCCAAACCTGACTGGTTCTGTGTTCAGTGGAAGCTGGGAAACAAAGGGAAACTTGATCAAACCACCTTCCACCCCCAGAATCTAAAGTAACATTGGGAGGGGGATCTCCTTGGAAGATAGGAATGGTTAAGGGAATGTGATTTGACACACTTCTCAAAGGACTGCAGACACCGCACACCCACCCCCATGAAGGCACCCCTAGTTACCATCTCCAACTTTGAAGAGTTGTAAGGTCTCTTTCCCTCACATCTTTGTATTTGTTTTGGTAGCGATGAGATTTTCAAGTTCAAGATTTTCCCTTGATCATCTACAAACCACTCAGATTCTGGCTGATCCCCCCTACTCACCATATTTCTTCTAAACTCATCTTTTCATTGAAGCTTGAAAAACTAATAGCAACTCCACTTTTCTGAGTAACAAATGCCGCCAGAGGAAAACATTTCAAAGGATTTTGCTATTTTCAACTGACTTCCCCTTCCCCAGGCTGAATGTGGCCACACGTTCTGATTGATTCACATTAAAATAATAATAAAAATCACCAGCTCCCCCCTCCCAATCTGGGTAGCATTTTTGAGCTAAGTCCAGCTAAGAACTGAAAGCGCCTCTGAAAATAATTGTGAGTTTGGACAAACTTTACTGCAATAAAACAAACATTTAATTTAACTCAGAATAAGAGATAAGAAATAACTCTTCAATAAAATATATAAAATTATACAAGATACCCTTTCAAAGGGATAAAAGTATACTGCGGGGAGAGTGTGGGGAGAGATGGATAGAAAGATGAAATACCAGGGAACTCAATGGGCTGTTTGACAACACCATTTCAGCAAGTCAAAACATGGCTTTACCCTCTGCCCCCCAATATGTTAAAAATATATAAATTTATCTAGAACACGTAGCACATACAAAACGTACAAAAACAGAGAGCAGGATTATTTTTCTCTTTCTGGATCTATTCATTGTTCAAGAGTATTTAGCATATTGGTAATAGCTACAAGATATTCATTTTTTCAAGCAGAGAATACTCTACCTCCCCCAAATCACCTTAGCCATGTGTGAAAACTGACATACCTAGTATCGCAAAGAAACCATCAATTCCTCTTGGTATGCTTTAACTTTTCACTCTCTAATGATCTGAAATGGAGTTAAGCAATAACCTTGAGGATTTAGGAAGTACTCAGATTTTCCACCTTACCCGGAGGCATTCTCCAGATTTGTTTCATCCCCCTTTTATTCATCTTACAAACACACACACACACAATGGTACAACTTTAACAATGTGTAACAACCAAGATGGTAGTATCTAATGAGTTTTTTAATGCATGTAAAAATGCAATAACATGATATACTCCCTTGACTTTGAGGGATCTCACCCTACCTACTTTCTATGCACATTGTGGCTAAGTCTATTTGTTTTTCCATAAGCAAGTCAATCATCCCATCTAAATCACCAAATTTCAGCAATTTTAAGCACATCATTTGTCTCCCCCTATTTAAAAAAAACAACAACAACACAAACATCAATTAGACTTCAGCAGTCTCTTTTAGGGAGGTGATATATAGAAAAAAGTATATATATCAGTATATAAATTTTGCCTTTCAAAATAATTTGAATTTTTCCGTCTGCTGTATAAAAATGTATTATATTTTATTATATATATATTTATATATATAAAACCACCAGAGCCAATCTTTGTGAAAGGAGCAGGGGACATCTGAAGATTACACCAAGAGCACACGCAAGGGGGCTTGGTGCTTGAGTCTAAAGAACAAATGTGAACTATATGGCGTGGCCGCTTAGGGTGGTGCACGGAGATCGGAGATCGGCAGAGCAGGAGAACTGGCTTGGTACTGCCTTCTTGCAGAGGGAGGGGGAACCCTTTTAAACAGATATCCATCATAGAGTCTATTGAGCTCATCTTCCTTAGGAGAGATGGTACATGCCATATCCCACTGGAGTCGCATAGAGTCCTACGGGCGGGATGGGGAGCACAGGTCTGTGGAAAGGATAGGACGCCCCATATAAGGATGCAGCTTGCAGGGGTGAGTTGATGGGGAAAGGAAGGCTGAAGCCAGAGGGCAGCATAGGTTTTGCAGCCATTTTCAGCTTTTCCAGTTCTGCCTCCTGCAGTCTTTTCGCCTTGGCCCTTCGGTTCTGGAACCAGATTTTGACCTGGGTCTCTGTGAGGTTCAGAGAACTGGAGAACTCCGCACGCTCTGCAATGGAGAGGTACTGTTTCTGGCGGAACTTGCGCTCCAGAGCAAGGAGCTGGGATGTGGTAAAGGGTGTGCGAGGCTTCCGATTGGTCTTGTGTTTCCGCAGGGTGCAGGTGGTGGGGCTCATGTGTCCTAGAGAACAGAGAGGGAGTGAATTAGCCATCGAAAGTCTTTTCTCTTCAGATCTGTGCGTGCACTGCAGGTCTCCCCTCTGCATCTCTGGAAAAAGTTCCAAGATCAGAACCCTGCATGCTTTTTTTTTTTTTAAGGGGAGTAGGATTGGAAAGATCCATATTAAATGTATTAATTGCCTGACAAAAGATATTGAGCTTTTTTTTTTTTTTTTTTTACAAAATGTTGGGGAATCTGAATGGTCTGATTAAGCTGTCTATATGGGAAGCTATGTTAGAGATATAGAAACAGACCCCTCCTAAGTCAAGGAGGCCAAGTGTTCTGAGGAACAAAACTCCATCTCTTCTGAGCTAAACCTCTTGTCTTGAAAATGAGGGTCTGGCTTCATAATAATCCTCATTTCCCTAGGATGCTGAGATAATCACATATGGAGATGAAAAAGGAAAAAGGTCTTATCAGCAGGGTTGGTCCCCTTTCTCTGCACCAGGAAAAAGTTGGATTGAATCAGCAGACATAGGAAGGATAATCTTGCGATAAGGTCTGTGGTAAATTAATAGCCATCTTTGGATTTGGGAGCAGCCTCATGCAATAAACAGCCACCCAGCTGTCATTCCATCCAGTCTACAGATTATAAAAATTGACAACATCTCACAGATCTGGATGTGGGATATGTTTCTTGGCTGGGTGCTTCAGCAATATAAACTTTACTAAGAAGGAGGGAAAAATTAGCTTGCCCATAAATGTAAATGTCAGGGGAAATCAAGCTGCCTCAGAATTGAGAGCATGTGATAACCTCTTAGTCATCTTCTCTACCAATTCCAGAGTTCAGAGCAAATGTGTCAATAATTAGTTTGTCGCCGGAATTTAGAAAGAGTTAATAACAAGCTCAATGAAGGTATGCCAACAGCATCCAGACTCCATATTTAAAATGAATCCAATTAGAGGCAGTCACAGGACTGGGCATCCTGGGATTCCACCGCATCAACTCACTTTGGGCTTCTTTTCCTGGAGGGGAGGCTGGGAGGAGTGTGGAGCTGTGGGCTAGAATGCTAAACAATTAATTTTCTGCATTTGGCTTTTATGAGCTATGCTAATTTCCCAAATGTAGCCACAATAGTAACTCCAAAGCACTCGTGAGGAGAATGTCGCATTTCTTGTTTAGTTACTTCAGTGGCCCAAGAAAGAGTTTACACTTCATACTTTAGGGTGACACAGCACAAGTCCCAACCCAACCTCCATTTCCAAAAAGAAATGGATTAGCCCTATCACTTAACCTATCACTTTAGTCACTAAAAACAAAGAAGTTTGGGGATCAATCAAAAACACAAATCTGGGAGAGCGGCAAGAAAGAAACTACCTGACAAGTGTAGACCTTTGCATATGCTAATCCCTAAGTAAACCTGAAGACCGGGGCGCCTTCTTAATTTACAAATAAACTAACAGCACTGCTGAGACTCAGACCTGTGAAATGCTCACAAGCCTAGTCTGGCTCTCTGGAGGACTCCTACATCTCAGCTCAGATAGTTCCTAGCAAGTTCCTAGTTCCTAGCATCTATGCTAGAGCCTGCTCAGAGTTTGGAAGCCACTCACACCAGGGCCCAGTCACTGGGGGCTATTAGGGGTAGCATTTTAATTGTGAAATCCCAGGAACGGGAAGGGGGGTACTTATGCATCAAAGTCATAAAAGCTAGAGGCATCCTTCCAGGGCACCACTCCTCACCACCCCCCACCCCTACTCTGTTTTAAACCAGCCAGAGGAAGGATGCGATTATACAAAGCAAAACAGCATTTATCCTACTTCCTCCGAATAACAAAACCAGGCTCCCTCCCTCCTGGCCTGCCAGCCCGCCCCAGGCTTCATCCTAGATGCTCCCAGGACTCAATGCTCCCACCACTGCAGCGTTCCCACTGCCATCTCGAGGCTCTAAGCCCACAACCCACTTCATAATTTAAAATTAAATGTTTTTTCAGAATCTCAGGTTTTTCTTATGGAACTATCAAATTCAAGGCCCAAACCTACTTTATGAGGAAGGAAAGCACCTATCCCTGCACTCAGTGGCAGGGATGTTTACAGAACAAACAGAATTGCCATCCCAGGACTCTGTGGCCTAAAGATATATAGGGAATTCTGACTCTCAGACACTACCTCCTTTAAAGCTGGAATACTCATTGAGCCACTGGGCAAAGACCCAAACCTAGGAACAGACAGGCAACTCAATTATCTGTCAGACAAATTAAGTTCCTTAAAAGTTTCTAAGCCTCTGTACCACCATCAATAAAATGGGTCTGTAATATCAATACCACTCTGTACTTGAATACTACATTTTAGAATTCCAAAGCTCTGTCTGCCAGCCATAGGTGTTCGTTTAAATGTTCATAGCACTTGGTTTATTTTTTTCCTGGTTATGCCTAACCTTGTTTGATTCCTTAGAACTCTGACTGAAATGTCCTATCTGTTAACAGTTGGGCAGGCGGCTTCTGCCACACAGAGATCAGATAAGATAACTTGGTGAAAAGTGCAATAAAGCACTGTGCAAACTTGAGTTTAAATTCTTTAGTCCTTAATCTCCACACCCTTTGACTCTTTTAGAGTTTCTAACAGGGTGGAGATAGATGCCAGAGGGGACAGTCAGTGCCGCTTGGGTATGGCCTTGTTTTATGCAGAAGTGGAGAAAGATGACTCTTAGGTTTGGAAAATATCCCTCCACAGCTTTCCTTTCCTACCTTTCCTAGAGATGCAGTGGGGTGGTAGAGAAATCTCAGTAACTTCTCTAAACTGCAAAGGAAGACTCAGGGCCCAAAAATGGATGCTAAGGCTGGAGGAGAAATCAGCTCTTCCTGGGCCTCCCAGGCTGCCTGCCCCATTGGCAGCAAGCAGGATTGCAGGTGTCTGTGGAGAAAGGGCACCTTACTGAGGAGCAGGGCTTGGACACTAGGGCTACTTGTCCAGTACAGTGATTGTTGGTGACTTGGGTCAAGCGAGTAAGTCCGGGTGTCTGAAAGATTAGGGATAGCCTAACCTTCAGGTTTCTAGCTCTGATCAGCATCTGGTAAACTAATGACCATCACTTTACAAACTCCGGAGCTCTGCTGAAATGCGGTTAATTATTACTATAAGCCAACTAAGCTTTAGCGCAACTGACCCCAGCCCGCACCCAGCGAAGACCCGAAACTCCTCAGCGCCAGGGGAGGTTGGCTGCACGGAAAACCGGGATATCCTCAGCCCCCAACCCCTCCCCGCTCAAGTCCCACGCACGCACACTCTGCATTGTTTTGCCACCATTCCTTCATAGGAATGATACCGCGGGAGACGTGGAAGATAATGACTTCTACCGAATTGTGGGGTGGGTTACATTTATGGAATATTTAAAATGAAGGCACGTTTCTCAGGGTTGTGAACTTTGAAAGGAGGTGAGCCATCCCACCTCTGCGTGTCACGTATTTGAATACTCAGTAAACGTGAATCCCTTTTCTCTCCCCAGATAGGTGAGCAGTTAAACAAAAATAAGCCAAGTGGCCAGAGCGCAGGGCTGAGGGTTAGAGAAACCGAACAACCCGGGCAAATTTAGCTGGGATGAGCCTGTCAAAGATCAGCGAGTCCGCAATTCTGCCCAATACTTTGTACAGCGAGGGGATGCCGAACACGCGCTAAGCGGATGTTACCCAGGGGGTGTCTTGGATGTAGTCTGCGCGCTGAGCTCTGGGGGACATCAAAGAGTCAAGAGCTGCTAGAGTCGCTATCTCCGGCGTTCAGAGCAGACGGGTCTCCGTACCTCCAGCCAGGAGTATCGGCCCCCAACTCCCTCCAGTACCCCCAAGCACCCGCCTACCCCTGGTCCCCGCCCGAGCGCGCACTCACTCGGCGGCGGCGAATATCTGCCAGCTTCTTGCATCCACGCCGCTCCGTCTTCAGAATTTTCCGACTTGACCGAGGCGGTCTCGAAGGGCTTGACCAGCGGCCCTGGACTGTGTGCCTCTCGGGCGCCGTGTCCGGGCAGCAGCAGTGGCCGCAGGGTGGCTCCGGCGGAGGAGCTTTCGGCTGGCAGAGGGGACGCCTCCTTGGGCGGCTTCTTGTCGGACATGAGCGCTTCCACGCTGAAAGGCAGGCTAGAGACTTTGACGCGGCGCTCCTCCGCGGCTCCTTCGGCGCCCCCAGGCCCCGGGCCCGGCCCGGCCACCATCGACGGGCCCTCTTCATCGGACGAAAACAGGTCACTGCCTTTGGACGGAGAAGCCATGACTTCTCTGTCCTACGTAGCTCCCAGCGCGCGACTCCGCTGGCAACCCGGCAGCAGCGACTCAAACTTTTTGGGGGGGAGACGGGAGGGGCACTCCTGGAGCCGTGCCTTTCCTCCAAGGGGAAGTGAGAGACTTGGCTCAGCCAATCCGCGCCGCCGCTGGCGCTGACGCCACAGACGCTCGCCTCTGATTGGTTCTTCCAGAAGAGGCTCGGGCCTTTTTTTTTTTTTTCCTGTTTGAAATAAATTAGGAGTTAATTACAGAAGCAGTCAGCAGAGTTGTTATTAGGCGATCCCTCAAGGGTTATAATCACGCCAAAACTGAAAAGACCAAGGCGTAATTAAGACCGATTATTTAAAGAGGAAGTTCGCCAGGCCCTTGTCTTCTCTCTTTTGACCCCTTTTTTAAAAGGTACCCGGCGCCTGTATCACTCCCACCCACCCCCAACCCAACACAAAAACTAGTTTAAAATCTGCAACTGACAGTGCAGAAACTTTGGCCAAGCTCTACCATACGCCAAAACTGAACTGACTTTATAACTTTAGGATTAGCACTGAAGAACAGGAGCCAGTGTCCTTATTAAAGGAAATAATACATGCAAAGCATTTAGAAGAGTGTCTCACTCGGTTTTAATCAAGTGTTCAATGACATCCGCTATTATTATAACTCCCCTAGTAGAGCGGCGCCATAGGGAGCCAGAGAGTTGGGTAGGGGTTCCTAGCTTCTAAACAGTCCGCTGGAAAATTTAAACCAGGGGTCCCATCTCTGCCACTAAAAAAAAAAAAAAGCCCAAAACTGGAAACTTGGAATTTGCGTGTTTTCTTTTCCTGAATCTCCTCGCTGGGCAACATCCGGAAACGACCTTTTTCTCAAGACTGCATGCTTTGTGCGTTCTTGCGTTTGTTTGTTTGAGCTTATGTTTGTCCTGTGTATTTGGGTGCCAGCATTTGCTTTGGCAGGGGGTGGGGGGTGAGAGAAGGGAGGAAAAGGAGCTGATGATACTTAGTGCTTCACGCTCCCCTCGCAAATCTCAGAAATACCAGGTTCCGGGTCTGCATATCCCAGGCCTATGTACCTTTTTGGGAAGAACATTTTTACTCACTGCACCTGGTGGAAAAAAAAAAAAAAACTAGATATCTCCACCCCACCATAAATTATACTCTGGGTAATTACATCTCTGAAACCTTGGCGATGACTGTCTCACGCCATGAAAGGAGGGTGCTCTGGCTTTCAGTATGCAGCGGCCTCCATCTCTCCACAGTCCACTCAGCCAAGACTGATTGCTTCAAATGTGCTTTTTCCAAGTTGTGCTACTTTTCCCTCATCTCAACAATTATTCTGCCAGTGAGGAGGGTAAAGAAAAGTTTCCTAGTTCAGGGTCAGGCGCCCAGCACATGCTTATAAGCTGTTCCCAGAGCTCAGGACATTGTTTTTACCACTGAAACGTCCAGGGTTTGAAGATTAGAGTCTTGACTCCCAGATCTACTTTCCAGAGCTCCTCTTTGACACACCATTTCCTTCATCCCAAACACACCTTTGCCTGCAGTATAACTGTGTTGCCCCAAGGTAACCATTACAGTCATCATTTGAATCTGAGAGGATTAAAAAAAAAAAGTTTGCATTGGTCAGTTAACTCAGTTTGATTAGGGATGGTTCTGAAAAAGTAAAAAAAGCCCTAGCCACAGTCTTTTAAAGCATCTAGGTCCTTCTCCCACCACAGCCAGCTAGCACATTCTTGTGTGTGTGTATGTGTGTTTTGTGTTTCCCCAAGCAAAATGGAAGCACAGAGAAAGTTCAAACACACACACATACACACACACAATCAACAACTATGAAAGTTATCTGGAGATGTATGCTTTTTCCCCTTGAGTCATATTTGATGATAGTTGGCTTGATATGCATCTCAAATGCAGTACAGGTAAATCCAGATTAAGTGTTGTGTCTTTTAGAGGTACCCAGCAAGGTGCAGGCTATATATTTTGGAAGCAAACCTAAAATTCGTTTAGCCTTCAGCTGCCAAAGTGTACAAAAGGTTTCACCTTTCATTTGGTTTGTACCCAGCTACTGTTTTATAATTTTCCCTCAAAACTCTTCCTAAAATTTGTCAATTTGGTGGCATTCAGCCTCATTTCTGAGATTTTTTTGTAAAGTCAATACTCTAGAACTCTCAAAGTCGAATGAAATTTTCAGGGAAAAGAGGACCCAGTTTCTCCTCACTGCTCTCAAGTTCTGATAATGTTCAGTAAGAGAAAGAAAATTAGGAAATCAGAAATAGGCAAATAGTGCAGATTTTAAAATGACTGATGTTCAAAGCCGGTGTATCAGACGCTGACCAGGACCAGGAGAGAAGTCTGTGGGCAACCAGCTTATCCATCCAGTCTTCAAACAGCTCCCTCTCCAGCTCGCAGCTGGGGTGGAGAAAATTCAAGACAGGGTCTCACTTCTCCTGGGAGCAATGTGGAAACTAGCCCTTTATGAAGAACCCCATCTATGCCTTTGCTCCTGCGTTGGCTACATTTTTAGAACGTTTTGTATTTCTTGATAATGGCGGTGGTGAGATCTTAAGAGTTATTCATCACGAGACTTTTTTTTTTTAATTCTGAAATGAAAAATAACTCCCACTTCAGATGGCTTTGTGGCAATTAATCCCCACAGACCACATAAAGAACTTAGAAAGCAAGGGGTTCGATAATAAACTCTGTTACTGTATATCAATACAAGAACAAGTTATCGGATGTCGGATAAACACAATGAGGCGCATCGCCCGCCTTCTCCTAGTTCACGGTCGGTTCCTTGCAGAATCTCTGGGGCAGAGAATTTGGCCCGGCCCTAAAATGTGCGCTCTTTGGGGAGGGTGGAACTGGGCACTTTGTAAAACTGACGACTCCGTAGCTGCAGTATTTGCCAGCAAGATCGTGGGGTTCCAATCCGAACTCCGTCACTATCAACTATGCAAGAGCACTGGTACCTGAACCTGTCCTCCTGGATCGCACTTGTTTCTTCCAACACACTGCTCGGGGCGAAGATTATTTTCCCATTTCACAGATGAAAAGCCTAAGGCTAAGAAGCGCTAAATTTGGCTGTCCCAGCTCACGCAGGTAGGAAATAAAGACCCGAGGATCGCCCCCCACACCTCCAAGTGGCACTGGCTACTGCGCGCAGACCCGCAGTGTTCCACCTTCCCTTGCCCCCCAGCGGCATTTGCGCGTGCCCAGGCCAGGTAAAACAGAAGGGCACGCACACAGCAAATTCTAAGGGGAAAAGACTCCTTGCAAACTGTGGAGGGTTGCGCGCGAATCTTAGCCTTTGCAACCCCCAGGACAGATCGCTGAATCTCGGCTGTTAGGAGGAGGCGGGGGAGGGGTGACGGGCGGGGACGGGGGGGCTGTAGACGGGCCAGGGCTGCGGGCAGGCGCCAGGCGCG